TTGTCATTTTCCAATGTTTCATCAGCATGGTTGTTAATTCCTGTGTCATATTTTTCAAAAGCATCTTCTGAAGTAGCAGTCTCTTGTGTTGAATGGACATGGCCTTCAACTGATGTGTGTTGTTGTTTGTTTGTTGTTGCTTGATTCTGTTGTTGTTGTAATGTTGTTGTTTGAGATTCAGAATTAGCCACGGCTTTGCATTTTTTCACACTTTTGGAGGGAGTCTTTCCAGTTACAATTTTTTTCAATGCTGCTTTTGTCAGAATGACAGGTTTAGCTGCAGTTTCTATATTATTCTTTAATGCTTCCTCAGATATGACATCAATTTCTTTGCTGCTATCAGCAACTTGAATCTCAATATTTACAATTGAGTGAGTATCTGTCTCTTCTACAGATGCTTTGGGTTCTTCTTTAAATTCTGTTGAAGAGTAACAAATTAATTACAACATTGGAATTCTAAAAATATCATCAAGTAAAAGGAAACAAAAGGGTGTTGATATGATGCATGTTAGAGCAATGTTTTGGGTTATTAAGGATTCAAACAGAACTACAGATTTGAGGATGTCAGATATGAATGAGGCTCTAAAACTTCACTGAGTGCATCCAGTAGCTTTCCACACAATGTTATGATGAAAATCCTTCTTTTACAACTAGAACATCAGGGCTGACAATAAGTTCTGAATTACCTGTTGCCTTACTTTTCACAACTGTGACAGACGTGTTACTTTGCAGGTGAACTGCCTTAACCACAGATAAGTTCACCTGAAACATCAAGTGCTCATCAAGCATACTCAGCCATAGCAGGTGTTGCAGGTTATGGCCCTTAATGACAGCCCTGGCATGTTGACAATGAGAATCTCCAAAGATTCTCCAAAGCTGGCTGAGAATCTCCAAAGCTAGCTCAGTAGTGCATAACTCCTGGCCTGCCAATAAATTCAGTGCAAATCTGCACTTTGTAGAAGCAAACTGTTGCAATGTGTTTAATCTACATCTACATTGATCCATAACTTGCAAAATCCAAGTTGGGACAGAATTCAAATCTACCTCGTTTACTATGATCACTATAGGCTGAAGGTTCAATACCACAAGCTAAAGTTTCACCCTATGCATGCACATTCATAATGTGCTACAATGTGGATATATTATCTGACTTTGGTCTGGGTCTTAACATTACCCATTTACAAGTATTTTTTAGACAAGTGCATTACCAATGGTGCTTCTGTTATTAAATGATATGCACCCGTCTTTGTAGACAAACTTGCTGGTAAGCATCCACTTACTAACATTCAGAACTTAAAAAGGTGGAAGAGAAACAAGCAATTCTCACCTGATGTTATATTACTATTATTACCCTGGTTCATCCGCTTGTACATGGCCTCAAAAAGATTTTCAATAACAAGCATAACAATGTTTGATGTCTGTTCGCGAGCAGTTGAAACCATTGAAGATAAAAGAACTTCATCTGTTGTTACTGCAAGTTCATCTGCTGTGTTTTGACCAGAGCTGAATACAACAAGGTCTTTCTTTTCTTGGGTACAAATCATCACTTCCTCCAATGCCTCAACATCTATGCCCTCCTCTTTTTCTTCTTCTCTCATCTGTAAAGGAATTCATACCAATACACATAAGCAAGATATAACCTAGTTTGGTTCTGAAATCTCCGTCAAGGTTTGTTAAATCTGGTGTTTGACTTTCTCGGATGTAACTAATGTCATCGTACGGGTGAGCTATCAACAGCAAACTCCTTGTTGTAATAAGTGAATCTCATGTTCCCCATCATTTTGACTGTCATAGACCACAATTGTAGTCTTGCCCCTAAAAGCAATTTTAGGGAGTTTATGTACGTTATGACAGTAATGCTGAGGGCAACATTTGAAAGATCAATTCAATATATTCGACAAAGAATTTTGTCACTCTCTAGTTAGATTTATCTGTTCAGTTTGTTGACCAGTGTTGGAACTATCATCAGCTGAATGTGTGAAGGCAGCATTCAATTTCCAATTATGAAAAAACAGATCATTTATCACCATGAGGGGTGTTCTCCACAAAACATAGAAGTTGGTCATATATAAGTAATTGTTCTTTTGTATGTAGAGGACAGCTAAGAAATTAAATACATGTAAGATGCAAAATGCACATGCAGAGGCATTATTCTTCTCATTACACCTTTTGTTTTGCAACTACAAACTGTCCATGTATTAGAGATCCACTAAGTTGTTAGAGGTGTTCAAGAGCAGGGGAGAGCAGTGATAATAGGTTTCCGAAGAGAGGGTGGGGTGAAAGTTAGTCTCCTTTACAGCCCCTTAGGCCAAAGTCACAAAAAGCTCCCCCTCCCCGCATGTCAGTGTGAAGCAACCGCAAGGGGACAGGGAACTTAGGTGACTTCAGCCCAGGTGGTTGCGAAGGAGACTAGGTGAAGGCGGACCCTTTCCTGCTCTTGAGCGCAAAAATCACATCTTGAGCTCACCACTCCTCCCTCAACCCACTACACATAAACCCCCATGACAGCTGTGAGGGTAAGACTTGAATTTTCAATTTAAAGTTATATATCTTAACTGCATACCTAAATTTATACATAAACCTATGCAAAGCATTGTAAACAAACCTTTGGCGAGTCCTTCGCGCCTATCATGTCATTGGTTTGTTGATCAGCAGGGGTTTCCTGATCAGCAAGGCTTTTTGGGGTTTCTTTCGAAATCCGTTTGCCTTTCCAAGGCCGTTTTGGCCGCGTAGATTTCACATCTGGAGAAACAGAGCTCAATCTATCTCTTTGCAAGGTTCTCTTCGATTTACGAGTAAACGGTGGGACGTATTTGCTCTCCTCTGACTGCAAATCTTCCGCAAAGTCGTTGTTTGTGTCTGCAACTGTCCGGGTTTCCAAATTCGGTTGTTGTACTCGTTTGTCAGACTGTTCGGCCTGTTCTTCCAAACCATCATCTAATTTTGGTTTCTTTTCTTCAACTGAAACACTTCCATCGTTTTCATTTCGCTTGGAAACTTTCTTTGTCGAGCCCGTTTGTCGTTTACGACTCTTCTTTCCGGCCATTTTGATTATGAGCTGTCGGAGTTTCAAAGTTGTCAACGCAACCAAACACGCCGCGCCGCGGCAAGCTTTGTACTTTTTTGGCGCCAAAACTGTTTTAGTTCCTCGTACCCAGGTCTTTCCTCCTCTTTGGCGATCCTATCCTGGGTTTAGGCGCGGCGCCTGTGACGGACGTGACGGACTCCTTTCATCAATCTTAAAGGGGCTCAGTCACGGTTTGCGCATATTGAAAAGTTTAGCCTCAATGTTTCCAATTCGTCGTTTGTAATCCGTGTTAATCTTCTCCATCCTTAGCCATCCTTGTTCCTTTATGGTTTATCACTATCTCTTTGGTGTTTTTCTATCTTACGAAACTGTTATTTTCAGGTTTCCTACCATTGAAAGGTAATTTTGTATGTGGCCAAAATAACTCAAAATACCGTGACTGAGCCCTTTTAATTATAAGCTTGCGCAGTAAGAGACTCTGGTTGTGTAGCTGTAGGCCAAGTAAAAACTTGTTTTCGCCCTTTCCTCTTGGTAGAACCCCGAGGAGGATTTCCATGTCAAGTTCGTCGATGCTCGTTGAAAAATAGAATTAAACCCGAAAAGGGGGCTAATCTGGACCACCTGAGCGTGACTCAAACCTATATGAATGATACCAATCCAAACCACTCACAAATTGAAAGCCAAGTACCTATAATGGCAACGTCATCAAATGCTTTTATCTGCGAAGAAATGTAAAAGGTATCATGCTACATCTATCTTAACCATTAGCACAGTATAACGGCATGCCGTTATTCTTAAACCTTAAAAGGTTCCTTGATGCGTCAAAATACTGGCTTCTATGCTCAACGCTCCATCCCAGGTGATAACAAAATCCTCACTCCACACCCCTGAGCTAGACCACAAGCATCCCCGTCTCTCGAACACGAGGATCATCCCAGCAATGGAACTTGCCATTTGCATGTAAAGAAAATTTCTGAGTAAATACCAGCAAGGGTGTCATGACTTAAATATTGCCCCAACGGGCAGAGTTTATTGTTATCGTCACTTTCTTGTTATTGATAACTGCGGTCAAAAAAATTTGTTGTTAGGTACGTTGTTAACTAAAATGGTAGTGTCTGATCAAGTGTATGCGTTAATTAATTACGATAATATTATATCATGTGGATCTAGAGAAAGCAGGTTATAGAAAAACGACAGATAGCTCTGGCAAGCAATCGAGGCTGGTAAATTGTTTGGCAGAGTTGTAACAAGACAGAGACGTGATCAGAAAGTTTAAAATTTTGGGCTGGATACCTGATGACCCGAAGGATAGGGAACTATTTTTCATTTGGTGCATCCAGGGCACTTTTTTTTGTCAAATCCAAAAAAAAAAAAATCCTGTTCTGATTAGCTTAAACCCGTGTAGTTATAGCCCTCCTCAAAAAACACTTCGGGAACCACTTTATATTTTGAAAGAAAAAATATTCAATGGAAATAAGAATTGTGCTTTTTTTATGTCGTCCTTTTTCTTTCCAAAAAAAATGATATCGTATCACAGGTAAGAAAGCTAATTGTGTCAAAAAGTTTTATTTATAAGGGCCCAGTTTTCCATATTGATCATCTGCTGAGAGGAAGAAGAAACTGGCGTGGAATCAGTGGCAGCGACTAAGAAGTAAAAGACCCAGGAAAAATTCCACGCAATTTCAAGTTCTCCCTGTGCGGCTTTTTTCACGGGTCTGCTATTACAACTGAAATCGTCTCGCAACAGGAGTACAGGACTCCCACCCGAGATAAGGGATTAACACGTAGCCTGTAATGACTAGTTTATATGATACTCCTTTGACAACAAAAACAAAAGTACCTCCTTTTGTATAAAACTGTTTTTATTTTACATGAATCCAGCAGAAATTGCTTTTTCCCGTCATTTTAAACTATCGCGCGCGGTAAATGCATATCTAAAATTACCCGCGGAACATGGGACCAATCAGCGTATAGACTTGATTCCAACAATACACCGTACATGAGTACTGAAGTCCTCTGTGTTGAACTCGCCTTCCACCGCGGATAATATTGCAGCATTAGCGGTCTCGTAGCTGGGCCGAAACAGACGCCAGCCATGTTTCCCTGGTAAGCATATAGTCTACTGGAGTTTTTGTTCTCAAAATACCCTGTCCTATAGCATTTCATCTGTGTGATTTCTCTTTCAGTCTGCAGGGCCTTAGCACGGCTATTCTATTATGCGTGCTTCTGATGCATGGAGTTTCGTCCCGGGACGCTGCCGTTCCCACAGGTACGCCAATTAGAATATTATTTGGTGTTTTGTAAACTGTTTTAATGACTTCTATATAGGACCTGGAGGTAGTAATCATGCAGAATATTGACACAGACTCGTAAAATAAATCGTTTGTATGGCACGCAGAACGCATGCAAGTAATGCAACCCGACGGTCTGTCCGAATGAGAATTTCTTTATATTCCCCATAACAAAGCAGGACTGTTTGTCGTTTGCGCGAATCTTGCGCTTTCCGGCTTTGATTTTAGTGTTGTCCAAATGAAGCAAGCATACTTTACCAGCATGCAGTATTCTTGGTTGTTACAATAAACTTTGGGAATAACTAGTAGAATTTTCCGATTTTCTATGTCAGTTGTTACAGGATCGCGTGAGGGTTTATACGGCGTTTCTTACTTCATGCCACCCGTCCGGTCCAGAGCAGTTAGCGCTTTGCTGTTGTTTAACCTATATTGTTTCATTCTACGACTCCCCTGTAATAATGATACATTTTTACCAAAGTTAGTCAGAGTTTTCTGCGCACTTATTTAGCCTCGAGCGCGCAGTTGGGTGAAAAGTCATTACTCATTACTAGCGTAAACCTATTTATAAACAAAGGCACGTCCTATACATTCATATGGCTGGGGCATGTTAATAGTAATAGTAATAATATGTGTATTTCCCTTTCCTATGTACTGTAAATCTCGGGTCTAACGTGATGTGATGTGAACAAGAACTGCTTTATCGATGAATGTTCTATATGATTGCTGTCACTATTTGACCCAAACAATGGTGTATTGTCCGCCAAGCGCAAATTGAGAACGTAGTTTGATCGACTAGCAGTGTACTTTTCTAAACCTATCGTTACTTTTTCCTCTAAGGTTCAGTGTTCTAAATGCTCTAGTGAAACATTCAGTGGTAATCATCTCTTGTGTATTCTACAATGCTTTGCCCAAAGAGCGAAACTTGATCTTGCATGTGCTGATGTGAGACAGTCAATCATTGTTATAATTGAGAAATCCCGACGTATCGTCAGACGATCCTCGTAAAACCCTCTACCACGTATTCAAGATGTTTTGAGTGGTTTTCTATGGATGAACGATGACTTTAAGTCTAATTCGCACGCCTCTCTTCATTTGCCATCATCGGTGTAGACGCTGTACTCTGCGGATTTCTTTATGCTCGTAATAAGAACTTAGTATAAAAAAATATATTACCAAGTTAATGATTATTTGTCTTGATTTGTTTGTGATTAATGGCGATGATTGTTTACAAACTTATTTTGAAATAATATTTTTGTAAGCCTCACGTTTCGACACATTGAAAGAGAAAACGAGTGAAGAAGTGTGCGTCATTTACCAGGTGTGTAGGACATCTTCTTGGGATATCTTCCTTCGACATTTGCTCTTTGATTACCAGAAATTAAAGACAGTGCTTCGGTAGAGGATGTTTCAAGTAATTTTTGAGTACGTAAATGACCGTCTTTAGCTATTGCTATTTGGTAGGACTTTCGTCCAAATTTAGAACCCATTTTTTTCTACTTTCGTCTGAAATCAGTAACATCCGGAACTGTCTTGCGTTACCCTAGTGACCTCCAGCTCAGGATCTTTATTTCCGTCACGCAATAGCAACGTGAAGAACCTTTGACGTTTTTAATCAAATCTCTTTACTGACGAAACAATTGATTGATACATGTTTGTTGTAGTAGCTGCTTTTATCAGTTTAAATTCCACGCATGAATGAAAACAGGAAAAAAAATAATAAATAAGCCTTTAAACGTGGCTTGATATCTCAGTTGGTTGCGACCATCACACCTCGGACGCCATGGGTACAAAACCTGTAGATGAGATGCCCTAGATTCAGGCCTCATTGCAATTGTCTAAACTGCTAACGCAATTGCGAGGATCCTTTCGTGTTTGGGATTTATTTTCCCGTTTGGACTGGCTTTCACAGATGTCACATACTGCCTACTTTGCGTGACGGCAGACAAAGACCAGGTCTCTCACGGTGCCACGGGCTTGTGTGCCATGAAAAAAAGTACATTGTTGTGGTTATCACTAAAATACCTTTTTAGCTTTGGGAGTTTGTCTTCCCATTTACAGACCATGTGATATTCTCCGGGAGAATTGTTCTTTTATCCATCTAAAAATTATTTTTTTTTACTCTTTATTTGAAATTCATTGAAAGCAAGAATTCTCAAGAGTATCATCACATGGTCTGAAACTGCCCAAGCTTAATAGGTCTATTCTATCAACGTCTCTCTCTTTTACTTCATCTACAGTTTTTTTTTTAGGCCATGTATTGGTCCCTTTTTCTAGTGTCTGACTGTAGAATGTAACTGGGTGTAAAATTACGAGAATTAGCCGTGGTACACCCAAGGAGCGGCTGTTTGTCCACTGTTTCCTGATCGAATTGGAATTTTGAAGTGTTGTATGAGCTCGAGGAGACGTTATTGATCGAAGTCTTTAATGAAGTGGGATGAGGGCAAATCAACACAGCTAAAAGAAACTTAAAACAATGTTTTAAAGCAACCTATTTCTTACACCGTATCTTTGATATCTCAGATACTTCTGACGTCGTGAACTTGGTGCAGGAATTTCAATGGAGTTTGAGCGAGCTTAACATCGAGACGACCGGACTCTGCAAGAGCAGACCGCTGCCTTTCTCCGACGGCCAGCAGGGATGGGATATTGCTTACGATTTGTCATCCACCGATACAACTATTAACACCACGGTGGAGTCGCTCTTTCCAAATGGTATCCCGGAAGAATTTGTTTTGTTCGCCACGGTAAAAGTTGAGACTGACAACAGAGCGGACTTGTTTACAATAATTGACGGAAAGCAGAGTCTATCTTTTAGTTTGAATCCTGTAGAATTTGAATACAGACGACGAGGGAAGGCCCCCGTTCGAGCAGGCTTCAGAGAAAGGTTAAATGATGGTGCCTGGCACAGAGTGGCATTTGCAGTCAGACAAAGACACGTGACCTTGTCCCTGGACTGTGCCAAGCCTAAAGAGCACGCGAAGAAGCCAAAGGGCTTTAATCCGAATTTTGGCCGAAACGGTATCGTGAGATTGGAAGGAGATTTCAAGGTATGAGCAAAGACCCCCTAGATATCCATTCGATCTTTTTCTGTTATGGAAGTCTCCATTAAATTCTTAACCCTAGTGTTGCCCTTAGTATACAACTTTTATTTAAGAACAGAGACAAACAAGCTACAAGCTTACACTTCCAACCAGTGTAAGTAGCTGGTCATTTTTAACTGAGCAGCCAGCTTGACTCCAGAGCTCATGTCTGTACATATTTACGCAGGGCCATGCGCCGTTGTAGATACAGAGTAGGAATTCTTGAGGAATGTAGAGAACACTCGCCAGTGGCTGGAGCTTTCTAGATTGTTCTCGTGTTCCCGAATGGTCATCATCGTTTTTGATCGTTGGATGACCGTATAGATTGATCATGATTCATTTAAGTTAGCATGGTGTGTTTCGGGGACGATCTTTGTGAAATTGCTAAGTATTCAGATTAGATATAAACGGAAGTGATTTATACGTGAAAGTTTCCGTAAATCGAAGTCCAAGATCTGTACGTAATTGAAGTAAAGAGGGGTCGTCAGATGCAGGATAGAGTATGTTGCCGTTCAACTCCGATGTAGCAACGTAATTGGACGAAATGTTTTAAACTCTAAGCTTCCAATTATTTAACTAAAATATCAAAGAAAGCAGCCAGGCAATGAAAAGCTTTTGCCCAGAAAACATCTTTACAGTCCATACAACTACTTGACTCAGAGCTCCTCAACCTTACGCTCTTCCTACTCGCGTTTTGAGTGTCGCAGTCATTTTTTGCCTTCCGAGCTCGTCGGCTTTCACAGCTCAACTTGTGGAGAAGTCTAGACTTAGTGTCGTTGTCTTTCCTTTCAGGGTTCTTTACAGCAGCTGTTGATAGCCCCGGACGTGTTCAGAGTTCTTTCTTACTGTAAAGACTTCACGCCGGATTGTGACACTCCGCTACCTTATGCGCCCTTCTTAAGCGGTGCTGCTCAAGAGAGAAACGTACAGATCGTCAACAATGTCCGATATGTAAGTACGCATACTTAACGCTACAAGTGGGGGTTAGGTGGAGGGGGTGTATATTACGCCATTTCAAAGTTCGAATCGAAGATTTCCAGCTCAAAATAACAGTTCACAGATATGGAAAAAGGCCGAAAAGGCGACGATAAGGCATAATGAATCATCAATTGTCTGAGACTAAGACCATAGCTAACCGAAACGAAAACGAGAACATCACTAAAACACGCATGTTAAAAAGGTTGAAAACCTGGCACCTGTCCACGGTTAGGCAATGCATGTTTAGTTTCTCAGTACAGCTTGTTTTCCAATGCCGGCTAAAAGGATTGTGATGCGCAGTTGCGACAAAAGTTGTATTCAGGATTGTTCGCACTGCATAACGCTCAAAAATGTGCAAGTGAATATATGAAAGATCAAGGGAATTCTAAATAAACCAACTAATTAACGTTGTCATCTAGATCGTGACGAGTGGGAAACACTCCCACGAAACAACAGTCTGTCGATCGAGTAAAATGAACGAGAACTAGTCCAGTCAACCTTCATTAAATGAAAGATCATATATATGAACGGTGGAGAAAGACGTAAAGACATGAATAATCATCGCAGTTTTATCGACCAACTTGAGCAGCTGTGAAATTAAAACCAGAAAAAAATTTCAAGCTTGAACGGGATTTTAATTCATGACCTCTGCGATACTGGTGCAGCCAACTGGGGGCTGGTCACGTTGTTCATTTCAATATTTTGTGTTAATTGTTTCATAGTAATAGCGCGGGACAGGTCATGAAACAATATCTTGTGAATGGAATGACGATTTTAGCAGGAAAACGATTAACAATCGGCTTGAATTCTATTTTCAGATTAAGGGAGAGCGAGGGATTCCTGGTCCTGCAGGCACTGCGGTATGTACAGAACTTGTTTGTATCGTTTGATCATCGAGTATGGAAGAGGTGGATTTTTGAAAAGTTGTTCCGTTTCATTGTAACCCTAGCGGTTAAGAGAAAAACAAAAAGTTACCCCGCCCCCACGAACTAACACATTTTCAAAACCCCTACCCCCTACCCCCTACCCCCACCTCTCACACTCGTAGCAGGCGTGGTAAAATAGCATTTCCTACTTGCATAAGTAAACGTAAATCCAAAAGCAATCTTACTAACAAGTTTCACTGGAATCAAGGCAATAAAGCACGTGAAAGGCACACTCAAACCAGCAGAGCGTGCTTTTCGATTGCTAATCAAATATACCTTGCCATATAGCCAGCAGCTGTTTCACGACTTGGTTCGCTTTGCTTTCTTCCACAGGGACCCCCGGGCCCACAAGGACCCAAAGGATACAACGGACCGAGAGGCGAAAGAGGCTCTCAGGTATGATACAGACGGCTGGCCCTCTTTCAGAAGGGCTGGTTTATTAAAGCCAATATCTTGACTTACAACATAAGTCTTTCTGAAGGCCATGGCTACCAGGGCTCCCATCATGGCCCTGGACTTGTGACAAACGTCTGTTGTAAGTCGAAATAATGGGGCTCAATGATCCAGACCGTTTGCCGTTAGCCATCGAGTCAGCAGTGCATTCAGTTTTGATTATACGCTTTTAGAGACCTCTAGCGCGAGCATTCCATAGAAAGTGGTCCGGAAACCTAACCACCGCATTCAAAAGATTTCTATAATGCAGAGTTAGCAAATGATGAGGTCATATTGGCCGTATTTACCTAGGAAATACGGTTAATAATAAGTCTCAGTCATAATAAGCATCTAATACTAAGTGCGGGTAGGAAAATACGAGACGCATGAAACTCGCTCTCTCCGCCGCAGGGACTCAAATGGGTTTTTTTCGGGTGGGGAGAATCCGTTGAACGATATCTATAACGAACGCTTCGAACTTCTGCAGAGGAGAGAGAGTGAAACTCGTGTGTTGGCAAAAAAAAAAAGCTGTAGCGGTCTATTCGTCTGCCTACGTGAACACGGCCATCTCCATCTCTCGTAGACAAAGATCTAATATCAATTTACAAATTCTCTTAACCGGTTATGTCTATGCTAGTTAGGAGAGTTTAATTAAAACAGTAAAAACGTTTTCCTTCTTAGGGACCTCGGGGCTCCCCAGGTTCTGCAGGACCCCCTGGTCCACCTGGCCCCCCAGGAGACGGAATATATGTGGTAAGTAGAATCTCATTTTAACTCTTTACTCGTGGCTTACCAATTTTTGCTTATCTATGTTAGTTTACTCTGTTCCCCTTATTTCTTGCTCGACCGATCCCAAACTTTTGTCTTCTTAGAAAGTTGACGTTGTTTATAAAAAAAATCCGACCTGTCTCGAGGTTTAATTTTTGCTCAGAGCTTGAAGGCTAAAACGAAGTCGCATGTAAATTTATTTATCCAACTTGATTAGTAATATACTTTTCCATCCACGCGATCTTAATCCTTGATCACTTCCAAAAAAGTTCTATCATTTTTCTAGTACTGTTTTAGAAAATCAGCCCATTATCGTTTGGGCTCCTTTCCGTTAAGCTTGTTTTTGAACACCCTGGTGTCATTATGAGAGCTAGGCAAGAACATCCCTTACAAGTGTGTATTTCCAACATTTCAGAGATGGAGAAGACTGCAGGGATCAGATAATAAGGGTCCAGGTGGCCCGGTAGCAGGCGGACTTGTCGTAGAGCCTCCTTCGGTGGTGAGTGTTTGATCTAACTATCATGAATTTAAGGTTGCCCGTTTAATCCGGGTGTCCTGTCCTAGCCTGGAACGCAGTGGTAAATGTATTTTTGTAGCGCTCACCTTTCAGTTTTGACAAAGAAACGGACGAAATTTTATTTTGAAGACTACTTCAAATGACACAAAAATATCCATTTCAGAAGGCTTCTCCCTCAAATTTACGTCTTTGCCATCGAGTTTGAATGTAAATAGAGAACCGGTTCATGAACTAGTTACGCGTCCCATTTTACCCGTATTTTATTTAATTCTTTATTACAGTAGACGTTTTATATTGACTTTATTGTTTCTTTTAATACTTCAGCCTGGAGATCCAGGCGCCCGCGGAGCCAGAGGACAGCGCGGTCCCCCGGTAAGTACAGACCTGGTACAGACATACACACGCTAATCGTATTGCCGCCACTTCTCTAAGGAGTGAAGACGTCAATCTGAGTAATAATGCAATTCTCATTACTGAAAACTACCTCTCGTTTCATAAAGGGAGAAAATGATTGCACTAACTTGTCGAAGTATGAACTGCCTGCTGCTGAACCATGCAGGCTTAAGCGTTATCCAGCTCCAAGGTGATTAGCTCAGTGGCGTTAAAAAACGTCGAACTTCCATCAAATCTATGTTTTTCACAAGGCCACATTGTCAACGAAAACACGTGTAAGATAAAAGTAACTTGAAAGATGGTAATCATTTTTACAAACCAACAAGTCTCATTGCCATAACGAACTTCTCGTTAGCCCAGTTAATTGGCCCCCACCATCAACGCGGGAGGCCACGGATTGGAATCGCCACCAGACTACCAAGCAGGGAGTTCTGCTGGCTGTGTTCACAAATTCAG